AACAATAAAGTTTCCTGCTGATCTTGCTATTTCTAGTTTATTTTTAAACAACCGGATAAATAGTTGATGAATACTATTAAGAGTCTTTGTTAAGATTTTTATCAATTGCAATATATAGCTTAGTTTGGAGATTAGATACATATTGTTTAAGTATACTAGTTGGCTTATAGTTACTTTTTTTGAATTTAATGCAAGGATAAATTGCCATATTATATCTCTTGCTTTCTTTTTGATATCTACTTCTTTCATCTTTCAACAAAGCCATATACCTAATATTCTAACAAGGGCTTCGAAACTACTTTATACTGGAATGAGATTTATATTGAAAGACCAATAAATATCTTTCTCAAAAAACTCTTTGAACTTCAAACAGAAGCAAATTTTAGAGTAACTAGTTCTATCAAAAATCTAGAGCCGAGTAAGGAAACACCCTACACAACTGGCATAGATTGTGGAGAGATCTTAAAAGAAAATCATATGTAAAATGTAGCTCCTCTAATATAAGCAAAAAAATAGCTCTACGTATTAAATATCTTATAGATGAAATGCCTGTTATAGTGTCATTAACAAATAGAAGACCTAATATCTATCAGTCAAAGATATGTATTATCTGCAGCAAAAAGAAAGAGACATTGGAACATGTATTAATCTGCTCCTCGCTAGAACCAATATGGAAAAATATTGAAAATATAGCATTCGAAGTAGCATGGTCCAATATTCTGATATCTTGTCGAAACACAACTCAGTTTGAATTTTTCAAATCAATAGTGATAGAAGAGAAAGCAAAAGCCAAATTAATTTGAAGAGCTAGTATAATTAGAGGCCTTTTTTCAACACAACTAGAATCATTAATTTACTCTAAACTGTTAATACAAAAAATTGCAGACAATTTCATAGAATCATTCAAAAATATTATAGAGAATAGATTCTGAGAATTCATATAGCAAGAACGCTGTAGAAAAGTAAACGAGTGGGAGAAAAAAGAAGGTATTTCAGCAAAAATGAAAAGAAGCAAATGAACAGACCCAAATAGGTTAGCACAAGAGATAGAGCTGAGTAGAGAAACTCAAGCCCAAGAAGGTGCTTTGAATAGGTCAAGAAGAAACTCTTATTTAACCAAAGAACCAACTGAGGATCCTGTTTCAAGAAGGAAAGAGAAGGAGTTAAACTTATTTAGATTGTGGAAATGTGCAATAGCAAATCTAATCATGAATAGCTCAAAGCCATTTTGGTCTAGTTCTTGACAGAGCTAACACGTCTTCTAGTTACAATTTAACTAGTATGACAGGTTGCATCTGGGTATTTACAATAGCCAGATAATGCTAGGCTTGCAATTGGAGGTTTAAATTTATATAAAATAGAAATTTTAATATATTAGCTTATTAATGTAGCACTAACGAGACTGTCTAAGAATAAAAAAAAAAAAAAAAACCTGTTCTACACATAAAATTACACATTATTGGCATATTTTTACATTATAAATTTAAATTTTAAAAAAAATATTTTTAATTTTAAAAATTTTAATCAAAAATTCAAAATCAAGCAAATTTTTCTTAAATTTAAAGTAAATATATACCTATATGATGTATTTTTATGCATAGAACAAGTTTACTTAGAGCATAAATATATAATTAATCAATAAAATATTAAAGATCATATAATTTTTTATAATTTTATTAATAAAATGTTGAAAAATAT